CATAATCTCGTTCGTGTTCCCAGAGCATACGATGACCAGAGCATCCATGCCCAAACCATAATCTCGTTCGTGTTCCCAGAGCCTACGATGACCAGAGCATCCATGCCCAAACCATAATCTCGTTCGTGTTCCCGGAGCATACTTTGCCCTACTTGTTTTGCCGATTGGACTCTTTAGGCTCCGGGGTTCGAGAGCCGTTACCGTTTTTCATGCTAGCCATGCCAGGTTCTTGCCTTCTCTTCTCTTTTCGATATGGGTTGTAATGATAATGTCAGCAAGGTACCTGCTGGTCTTTCTGGGGCTTGCTTGCTACAAGTCCAACTACTATACTTCTTATGCTAATGTTGTCTGCTTAGGCCCCCGAACTCATCGCAGAATAACCCACTAGGCGCAGGTTTTCTTCACTTTACAACTTTTTGCGTTGAACGTTACGGCTGCCTAGGCCCCCGAACTCATCGCATAATAGCCCACTCTGCGCAGGGTTTTCTTCACTTTGCAACTTTTGTTTTAAACGTTACGGCCTACCGTGTCCGTTTTGTCCTAGCCAGCGCAGCATTTCGTGCATCGGAACGCTGAAAAGTGGAGACCATTTTAGGGTTTTTGGCCATCGCGAAATGTAGGGCTCTCGCAGTCATGTACCCAAAACCCACACGAAAACGCGATTTCACTATGAAATCTCTGTACACTGCTCTTTCCTGATGTGGAAATTACTAGGGTTCGTTCAAGGCCGTATTACCATGTTTTTGCATGGCCGGCTGCTGAGAGAGAGAGAGAGAGAGAGAGAGAGAGAGCGCGATGCAGCTCCAAGGGCCAAAATTCTGTTTTGTTGGAAGCAGAAGTGGACACTGCAAAGTATACCTGCGAACAAATGTGCAGATTCTTGATGGTGCGTGGTCACCAACGTCCACTACCACTGACAAGGAGTCTTGAAGCAAATGTGCAGTCTTCAACTTGCTCTCATGTGTGTTATCCTCTTTTTTTGGAGGAGGGCGCAGAAGGCAGGAGCTCCAGATTGCCAGCAAAGCTTGTAATTGTGTTGTGGCTTTCGTGGTACGGAATGGACAAAGTCCAAGGCTGCGCATGGAAGTATATTCGAGCTGCTACCGATCCGGAGCTAACGGCAAGCGAGGCCAGAAAAGCATACTGATTGACCTAACATGAGATGTGTTGGTTCAGGCTGCGCGGCAGATTGCTCCAGGCATCTATGCTCTACGGTCTGGTCACTCCACGGATAGGGTACATAAATGCCAGCACTAGCCAGGCAACGAAGTAACTTTCGAGTCGCTGAAGAGGTCCCTTTTCCGGGCATGCAAAAGGGACATTGAGTAAGTACCCGCGGCCAGCCTGGCTGGGATGCGAATTTGTCGCCATGGACAGGTTCGTGATGCAACGCCACGATGCTGCTTGTGCCTTCGCAGCCCAGGAGTCAGGCTCCACAGTGCGTAGAAGCACCGCAGAATGAAATTTACTACTGATGTAGGCAGCGGACTTTGCGATGGAGAAGCTGCCCAACAGGTGATGCGCTCTCCTGCTAGAACGCTGCTAGGTCTGGAAAGGGATGTGAGATGAAGTTTTACAGGCTACATGTGCATCGACTGAATCACCATGGCCTGGCGCGAATTTAGGAGTTTTTTGTGTGCAGCTTTCCTTGCGGTGGCTGCAACGTTGTATGGCGCGGTCTGTGCCTGCATGTCAGATAATGCCGACTCTGCCCCCGCTACCAATGCGGCTGGCCAGTTCCCAGCCAGGCCTGCCAAAGTACGCAAGCTGGGCAACTCTGCGGAAAAGTGTTGTTGTTGGCTTCACCTTCAAGAGCAAACGAAGGGACTACAGGTGATCCAATAGGGCTGGGTGGCACCCGGGCACTTAGTCGCTTGCGTTTGGTGTGACGGCTCGAATTAGATGTGGCGACACAGATGTGCGGAAGCTGCAGGGGCAGCTGGCGGCCCAGTTGTTCCTTCTCTGCATTTGTCCTTTTCCAGACGTGTCGAGCTGCAGGTGCCTTTGCTTGGCAAACGGCACCATGCTTCCGGTACGGGAGCTCAGACGTGAAGGAACTCTGGCTCAAGCGCAGCATCTCCGCACTGAGTTGATTGTTGGCCTGGCGTTGGTGCTCCTGCTGAACTGCTCATGGATTGTGGCCGTTCTCATCGTGGTGCCTTGGCTCGCTCTTGCTGGCCTGGCTGGCCTGTCTGGGCTTGTCGTCAAAGAGATTTCATTGCCAGGTGGCGCTGCTCCTGTTCTTCGTTGTCAATTTAATCATGCGGCAGGACAGTTTGGGATAGTTTGAGAGCCTGTATTTAGCCTGTGTCCGGCTTGCTCCCAACGGCCTTTCATTTTGCGTTTTGATGGTGCATGAGGAGTCCATGCTGTACGTGCCTTGCGTCATGCCTGGCATGCAGACACCAAGCCACTTGGACCTCGTTTGAAAGTCACGAAAGCTAGCGGGGCTAGGCTTCAGTTTAGTCTTGCTTTGGTCACAGGAATCGTAGGTTTGGAAGGGGGGGATTCAATGTGTTTCTTTCTGCAAGAGGCTTCGTTGGAATAACGTCATGTTAGGTGGATGATTGTACTATAACATCATGCCTGGTTGTTGCATCAAATCTTTTTTTCTCAATGTTCACTGCCCTGACATGCTCATGGTACGAAATAAGAACTCTGTAGCAATCCTTATCACTTATTTCTTTGACATATTATTTCCATTTAATTTCTCTTGCTGCAGCTAAAGCACTACAGTTTCCAATTCCTGTAAGTCTCAGGGTTCCTGTTGATGTTGGAGAACCGTAAACATCAGAACCAAATGATGTATTGCCTAACTTATTAGCATTGTTAATTGACATTGATATTTGTGCGTTGCTGTCTCGATTATCCATTTGGACTCTGTGACTTACTGATACATCCGAATGCGTAATGTCTACATATCCTAATGGATTGGCCTGTCCCTCGCTTAATCTCTGGTGTTGATGATGGTAATCCCATTGTTCACGAATTGCTGCTTCTGACAGATAACTTATACTGTGTGTCTAACACTTCTTCAAATTCCTTGCTGTCCTGCAACATAAAGCGTCCCAACTAGTGGCATCCGCCTTTGCACCAATATTTCCAATCTACTAAATGTGTGATTATTCATACTTGCTCTTTTACATGTAATTTGAAAGTGTCGATTAGTTGTAATGCTATTTTTCCTTGTGAGATCGGATGTTCTTTCTGTCTGTATATTTCCTCTGCTGGTATTGCGTGTTTCTTGCATTCGCGTCTTATGGTTGTTCTCTCACTAATTCAGAGTCTAGCTATATCGCACACTACGTAGTTTTCCAGACCTTAAAGGCTACCAATGCTAAAGCAAGAGTAAACCCAAGCCTAGCTTGCTTGATTTGTGCTGCTATGCTTGCTGTTGTACGGTCTTCTTTTGATTAGATTTACGGCTGAAACTCATTCCATGAGAAGTAATGATGTTTAGTGATTTGCTAGCGTATGCCCTCTGATATATCTGCATCTAAATGTGCTCCTGTCGGCGTCCAAAAATAAGTTCCTGGCTTAAATATAGGTCCTTGCGTTGTCCCACCTACATACTGCTCAGAAATCTGACATATTGGGGTCTGCTCCTGTTCCTACCTTCCACTTCTGTCCTTTCTACCTTTACTTCACCTGTTGATGCGTCTTGTATTTCCATTCGTTTTTGTGGTGCTCTTCCCGTTGTTTAGCACTTTAATTTTCTATTCCTGAACTCCCAGGACGTCGTTTCGCGTGGTCAATTGAAACTTCCCGGCTGTACTCTGTCTGTCGCGGTTCACAGTTCACGCTTTTGTGTGGTCATGGTACTCGTGTGGTAGTCGCGTCAAACCTCCCTACTTAGTCTATCGGCTGCCATACCCCAGGGAGTTCACAATACGGATAGCATGATGCTGGTGGTTTCAAGACTTTGCCCCCCTTCGTGTTCGCAACCCTTGCAAAGTCATGATACGCACAACCCGTGGTGGTCGTTTCGTCAAACCTCCCCGGCCCCTCCGTAGTGATCACTACCCGGCAAGCATCATCACGCCGGGTTGTTGCATTGCACCTTTCCCTGCTCCTGTTGTGTTCAATACCTTCGCCTGGCCTTGAAACAAGCCATTTCTTGTTTTGTTGAGACCTTGCCCCTCCTGTAGTACTCATGCATGGCGTGAATGGCATCGAATGGCATTCAGCTCGATGGTTGTACTGACGCTCCCTACTCCGTCTTTGA